TGTGTGTGTGTGTGTGTGTGTGTGTGTGTGTGTGTGTATATATATATATATATATATATATATATATATATATATCTCAGGCTAAGTGACTGTCCATTTGACTGTCTGACTGGGTGGTACATATGATATGCTTTAGCAATTTAAAAATAAACATTGACTCGTGAATGCACGATATATATAAAGCTCTTGCTGGCACCAATCTAGAGAGGTAGGAATATTCCTCTATTGAATTTGGGCATAGGGAGTTAATCATATACTAATAGACTCTAAGTAAGTTTACACAAAAGCAAACCCTGCAGCTCTAATTTACCTGAATGAAAGGAAGAGGCAGAAATATGGATGGATTATCACCCACAATGCAATACCAATACCAGTTTACACAAAAGCAAACCCTGAGTGAAAGGAAGAGGCAGAAATATGGTTGGATTATCACCCACAATGCAATACTAATTCTCTAATCATTTGACTTAATCTTCACAGTCAATCTTCAAATATAGAGAAATATTCCTACCTGAACCTGTTTTCAGGCATGGTCAGTTATATGTTGCTTTTTCTCAAGTTTGAAGAGCATGTCACATTAAAGTTAAAGTTAAAGTTGTAAATACTTCCTCACAAGGGAAATTAGTCAAGCACTTTGAAAGTGTTTTTACTCTTAATGTGGTATAGAGAGATATTAGAATAAGTTTAATCAATGTATCAGTCATTGTTTTATCAATGTTTTTCTATCATGTTTTTGTTTTTATATCATATCTTTGTTGTTATATCATGTTGTTCTTATTTACTTATTAATCAATTTATATATTATTTTCATATACATTTTACTAATTTTCTTTCATCACTGACACTTCTATTATAAAGGATGAATAATGATATTAAAATATTTCTTCTAATCAATTTTCTTTTAATGTGCGTGAATCCATGCACCAAGCCACTAGTCATAGATATCTTTGAAGATTAACTGTGAAGATTCAGTCAAATGATCAGAGAATTGGTATTGCATTGTGGGTGATAATCCATCCATATTTCTGCCTCTTCCTTTCATTCAGGTAAATTAGAGCTTCAGGGTTTACTTTTGTGTAAACTTTCTTATAGTCTATTAATATGTGTTGTTGTGTCTACAAAGTTAAAGTGATGGCTGAATTTTGATTATTTGTTTTGAATTTGGGCATAGGGAGTCAATCATCATAGAACTCAATTGTTGTTGGCAGAACTTGAAGTGTTAAAAAATAGATAGGTTTGAAATATCTAGTCAGTACTCAGAAAGCAAAGCATGGTGGAATGAGTATTAAAGTAGAAATCTTAGACTGGAAGTGTCGCTGAAACTGGTTTGATTCAGTGGATAGAGTGTCGGTCTGCAGGCTGGAAGGTCCCAGGCTCAATTCCAGTCAAGGGCATGTACATTGGTTGCGGGCACATCCCCCGATGGGGGGTGTGCTGGAGGCAGCTGGTCAATGTTTCTCTCTCATCGATGTTTCTAACTCTCTATCCCTCTCCCTTCCTCTCTGTGAAAAATCAAAATATATTTTTTTAAAAATGATTGGAAGTGTCAACTTGACTCAACCTTTTGTAACCACGAATGCCTTACTAATATATCTGTGCTCATTTTCTCTTTTGTAAAACAGACAATACTGTAATACCTTTACTCATTACTCAAATGGTTGCTGTGAGGAACAAATGAAGAAAGCACAAAATGGAAGATACATTTCTAAAAAATGTACTACAAGGGGGTGTGATGTTGAAAGATATTAGCATTTTAGTTGCCTTATCTCATTCTTACCTCAGGCCACCTTCATTGACAGGTAGTCATCATCCAGTTTTCAAATCTTACTAGTAAAAAACAAACTAACACACCAATAAGTTTTCAAGTGGGGAGAAAATAAAAGGTGAGAGGTTGGGGAATAAAAGAAACAGTGACTTCAAAATTTTAAATCCCACAAATGTGCAGTTATGATTTATATTGGAATAATAAGACCAATGCTTTTTACATTCTTCAGACAATAGATATTTGTTATCAGCAAACCAAAGAGAATTTATTTTCCAGGGATGAAAAATGTCATGCTAATTTAAATATTATATTTATGTTTTTATACAAGATGAATCTATTTCAATTATTAATGATTTCAAATAAAAAATCCAATTTCTTCCACACAATTCTTTATTTTGTTAAAAAAGTTCCTTTTGTACAAATGCAGCTGAATAAAATGCATTACTAAATATAACGACTTAATTTCATTAAATGGACCCTTTTACATACTTAGGAAGTACGGTATGGTCTGCAGCAATCAAACTCAGTTTTGAGTCCAAAGTTTCAATTTGGCATGAATGGAAAGGTTAGGCTGGTTAGATCCATCTTGATTAACCTTAATATTTCTTGCCTAATACATCATACCAAATATATAAATAAACCTTTATAATATACCTTGTTTATACAACTCATGATTCTGAAATGTGTGCAAAGGATATTTTTAGACATTTAATTATTTTTAAAGATAAAAGAATTTACTGCTAAAAATTCATATAGTGTGTCCTTTTATCAGGTTGAATTATATGAAATTGCCAATATTTGAGCACTTTTGACCAACAGAAATGGCATATGGTTCAGAATAATAAAAAGAATCATTTTTCACTTTAAAACAGAGTACAGCTATAAATAACATACCTATTTGTATACATTTAAGCTAATGTGAAATTTTTGGGAGAGTGGCAGTTGGGGAAGGAATTGGCAAGTCAGCATTTTGGATAGATGGGTAAATTCAAATTATACCTAATGTTCTAGCTGCATTTTTGAGCAGTAATATATGTTAATTAATACAATGGGGGGACATAATAAATATACAAATTATTTTCTTTAGTTTGTTATGATTAAAACATTGAATTTATTTTCCTAAAGATGAAATAACAAATGAGTCACCATAATGACACATCTGCTTAAATCCATCTCCATTTATGTTATCACTGGAAACTGTGAGTGGTTATGCTACTATTTTAGTGCAATGTGCAAGCTGTGCTGTGTACTTTGGTTAATGCTCAATGAAGATCTAGATCCCATGGGGGTAGTTGTGATGAAAGACGGTGTTTGTTTTCCAGGTGAGTAACCTAATCATAAATTAGGAATCTTCATCTAAGTCAGTCATTATGGAACAGTTTTAAACCCCTAAAATATTGGTTGGGGAAATAGATGAACAGGGAATACATTTACAGTCTGTTCATTAGGTTCAGCAACAAGGCTTTGAGCTTCTTGCTGTTCATTGCTGTTGGAAGTGTAATCACTTTCTTCATTTATCCAGCCACTGACTTCTTAACTGTAAAGTGCATTCAAATACTGTGACCACAAAAAGGAGAGGGGAGATATGTGTCCTTAAGAAGTTCTGAGGTATATTGCCAGCCTGTGATGAAGTCCATGTATAGTTGCCAACAACTAAAATTTTAAAGGGTATATGCAGTCTGGGTGTTGAATAAAGACACAACTTAAGTCACCAAATGTAATAATATGGGTCATTTGGGAAAATATAATGAGAAAAGAGAAGTGTAAGCCCTGTCTGTCTTAGCCTACCTGCTGATTTATTCTAAATGGTGCAGAATGCACTTGCCATCTCTTAACAGTGTGCTCTTGTAACAGGTGTGCTAGAGTCAGCCTTGCTGCTAAGTTTAGCTCTGCATGTGGGGATTTTACACTTTCAGCCCCTTGGAGAGTGGATATTGGCAAATGACTGTATAAAAGTAGAAAGCAGTTGGGAATTTCACCACCAACCTAGATTTAGAGCAGAGTAAATGGGTCAATCTAAATTGATAACAGACTAGAACTGTATGTCCAGTGCAGGTGGCGTTAACCTATCCTTTCCATTTCTCTCTTACTACCACTACGATTTCTGTGGGAGCATATTGTGAAATTTGATGACCACCTTTAAGGTGATAAAAAGAGCTGACTTTTTTTTTTAACAGGCAAAATTTAACATAGATATTTTAGTTCTTTGGTGTAAAAAATATGACCAACGTTCTAATTTCTAATTTGTAAACAGTACTCATCTCCTTTGGTTCCCCTTTGGAATATTAATTTTTAAAAATCAGTCTGTTTCTACTACTGGCATACCTATGAGAATGAAATTTTTCAAAAGTATTTCTCTTATAGGTAATAAGTGAAACACTTAATCTTTTGGCAGGGATTGAGAAGAAAGAAGCATTTTTCAGGAAAGACAAATGTGAATTTGAAGACATTGATCTTTAGATTTTGGAGTGTGTTTAGTCCTTTCCTCCTTTATCTCTCTTTGTTTTCCTTAAATTCAAATCTAAAAGGAGTCTAGTGATGACTAAATAGCTCTCCGATCATTTTTCAGAAAGGAAAAGCTGGCACCAGAGGCTTGAATGTTTTATCTAAAGCCACAATCATTTAACGACAGAATACCAATATTATTTCATTTATGCTTCAAAGTATAGTTGAATCTTCTTTACTAAGGCCACCATTAAACAAAGCTCATATTTGTGCAACTTAATCCTGGAGCATGATAGAGAGGGAGAAAAGGGCAATGAAACCGCATGCATAATTGTCACAAACACATTTTGACTTAGTTTTCCCTTGGTTTGGGGGAAGCTCAGTGTTCCAGATTTTTGTAATATGTCTGTCATGATCTGAGTTTTTAAAAAATCCAGTAATTGTAATAACACAGATATAAAAATGCACATTTCCCTCTTTAGATAAGTTTATTGACTGAAACCTTTCTGAAAACTTGTTCTTTATTTTTTTTAAATATATTTTATTGATTTTGTACAGAGAGGAAGGGAGAGAGATAGAGAGTTAGAAACATCGATGAGAGAGAGTCATCGATCAGTTGCCTCTTGCACACCCCCTACTGGGGATATGCCCGCAACCAAGGTACATGCCCTTGACCGGAATCGAACCCGGGTCCCTTCAGTCCCCAAGCCGACGCTCTATCCATTGAGCTAAACCGGTCCCGGCTGAAAACTTGTTCTTTAAACGGAAACAGTTTCTTTATATATTTTCTTTCATTTGGTTCAAACCCAATGGCCTTAGATGATAAAAATCACTGTTCCTTTGGGGAAGGGCTCGTGGTGCTGTCCATGAACTTCTGACATGATTTAGTTTCATGCCAGCAGAAGTGATTCTTTAGGATCCAAGTACTAAATTAAAATTTCTCCTTTTCTTGGGGTACCTTCTTTGAACAATCAACCCCTTTGAAGGCAAATTTTCCTTGTTCTTGGAGCTTCCAGGAATCCTGTGTTTTTATAACAGCTGCATATGAATTTTTGTGGTCTGAGGTTTGCTCAAGGCCCTGGCTGTCTTTGGTTACTATAGAAACCTGCCCTCCCACCAGCTGCCGTTTTTTATATTCCTGGCAAAGAACAAGTATTAAACCTTAGTTATCCCACAAACAGAGTCAAGATAAAGAATAACACATAGAAAACACAACTTTTTGTTAAATGAAGACCTCATGGATTCCCTACATGGGAAGCTACATGCAACAAAGTAAGCTTCCCTAACATCAACATACAGGGGTTTTCTGATGTCCACTAAAACTCTTCATCCTGGCTTCAATAAGAGGGGATTTGACTCTGCATCTCTATATCTGTGAATTCAGGAACACTTTCTATGCTCTCGGAATTGATGGGTGAAATGACATGTTTGAGCCGAAGGAGCATTATGAAGAGCAGGAGGAGGAGAATGGCCAGGAGGCTCAAGAATAAGCCCACATATATGTACAGGTTGGAATACTTATCTAACGTAGTGTTAACCTCTGTTGCTGGGGTGGGGAAATGGGTCCATCCAGCGAGAGTTCCATGGTACTTGAAATGCGCCTCCATCATCACTCAAGGATTGAGTAGATCCTTGTTTCTATTTGATTTCTGTCACCCTTGAGGCATTCCACAGTCACTTATACTGCCTCTGAATATACTGCAGGTTTTCTAATAGTTTCCTACAAAGCAATCATGATCAGAGCCAAGTCAGTAGTGCACAACAAGAAAATTGGATATTATAATTTGGCAATTGGCACACCCTGTCTGTTCTGCAACATAGCATGCCCCTCTCAAATAGGTTTTATTGGAACTTTTTAATCATTTAAAATATATATAATAAATAAATATTTCCTTTTCACAGTCCTCTTTAATTAAAATAAAAATTGTGAAATTATAATACTGGCATGGAGACAAGAAGCTCTCAGGATATTAAATCAAATGTGTGTTCTGTTGGGGTAGAAGAAGAAAGGGCTCTGTTTTGTCTTCAATTCATCTAAATACTTGCACTAATTATGTGCATTGAATCGGGTTCTTCTATGAGGAGACTTTCTAAAGGGTTTTATATATTTCATGCTTAGTATATTTGAGTTTTCACCTTTCTTGTCTTTCTGAATCTCACCTAAGGATGGAGCTTATAAAGTTCCTGTCCAGTTGCCACAGCTTGAGGACTATAAATCTACAGGATATGTTTTCTACAGTTTTGTTGGCATCCCTCAATGTAGGCTGGAGGAAAAGTGTTGTCAGAGCTGGTAATGGTTAGGTGGAGAAGTCTCAGAGGTGCTGACAGCAGTAAGCTTAGGCTCAGAAGATTTGACTCTTAAGATTCTTCAGCAGAATTATTTTCCTAAAAATAATAAACAAAAATAAAAGATTCAGGTATCTAAGAAAAACAGATAAAACTTTTTTTAAAGTAAAAATTAACTGATATATTGCAAAATGTTTTGCTATGGGAAAATTAGTTTTAAAATAATATCCTGAATTTTTATCATTTTGAATGTTTTTTAAAAATATATTTTTATTGCTTTCAGAGAGGAAGGGAGAAGGCTAGAGAGACAGAAACATCAACAATGAGAGAGAGTAATTGATTGGCTGCCTCCTGTAGCCCCACACTGGGAATCAAGCCCACAACCTGGGCATATGCCCTGACCGGGAATCGAACCGTGACCTCCTGGTTCATAAAGCGACGCTCAACCACTTAGCCACGCCAGCCAGGCTGAATGTTTTTTCTATGTGGTAAATAACTATTAAATTTTATAGAAAAATTTATATTACTGAATAGCAGCTAATAACTAAGTTAGATTAAAACTGTGTTTTCCAAGCTAACTGATCATAAGATTTATCTGAGGTACTTACTAAAATATAGACCCTGGACTCCAACAAAGATGTCCCAAATCATAATCTCCACAATAGGGGCCTGGACACACTAGAGAGTCAGATTTTATTTGTCTGGGGTGGGGATCAAAAAAAGTTCCCCAAGTGACTCTATAGTATAGTCATGACTGAGAACCACTTCTTTAGTTTAACCAGGAAAGCTTAGCAATGAACTAAAGAAAACTTCAATCTAAGGATTCATTTCCAAATTCCAGGTCCCAGTGCCATGGGTCAATTTAACAAATTTTAAGGAATACAGGCTTCCCTCATTTTATTTTTGTGTTCTAGCTCTCTCATTTAGGTTTATGGGTGCCAGAATACACCCCCACCTCCCCGCCCCAGTATTTATAGATCCCAATGAATTGAGAGTGTATGTCTGTTGGGAGCAATAAAGATAGAAACTTATCTTTTTTGGCAAAAACATTCCAGTGTGTAAATAGGGTACATTAATTACTATTAAAGTCTTTAAAAATTATATAGCTTGTCATTCTAACCATGAATTTTTAATATGGATGACTAAAATAAACAATATAAACCACCATCACTTGTCAAACTTCTATGTACAATAGTAGCAAAGAGCTGACAGTGTAGTCTAGCTGTCACTTGTTGACATACTCAAGGAGAGTTAAATAATAGCTTCAACAACAACACAAATAAATAACTCCAACAATCACATTGCTCTTCATATGATCTTGAATTTTGCCCCCCAGCCTGGGGGTACTTCAGCTTAAAGTTTATAATAACTATCCAACTTTCTGTAAGTTGCATGATTCTGTAAACTGCATGGTTCTTCATCTACTTACCTACTGTCTTGTCCCTACCACTCCTGCAGAAACTCTAGGTTCACAAGAAATAAAAGCAGAGTCTGTGACTCTTTCTCCTGTCTTTGGAGCAATGGTCTAGAAGACATTTTTGCAACACGTAATAATATATCTACTTTGATTTTTGATTCATTAGCAAATGGAAAAGATAATCATAGTAGGTATCCTTCAGTTCCCTAGAAATACCATGTCCCTAAGGCAATGGTTCACCTGAGTAGCTCATTACAAAAACAGATTTCAGCATCTGCTGTTGGCAGCTCCTTCTCTTCAAACCACTTATTTCTTGGCCTTGCTTGTTCTTTCAAGTCCACTTTCTCTCAAGGATATGATACATGTATTCCTTACATCATTTAAAATACAGGTTCTTAGCCCTTTCCCAGGCCTACTGAATTATAATATTTTGGATCCAGTCTCAGGAATATGCATTATAAGCAAAAGTTTTTCAGGTGATTCTTTGCATATCAAGCTTTGAGAGTTAACTACTAGTCTTTCTATCTAGACACCCCAGCTAAAGAACATAGCTAACTTATCTTATTGGTTGTTTTGGGGCCCTACTTTTAAAAACCTATTTAAAACCGTGCTATGGGTTGAATGGTTTCCCTAAAAAGATATGTTGAAGTCTTAATAGCCTGAACCCGTGAATGTGACCTCATTTGAAAATAGGGACTTTGCAGATATAATAAGTCAAAATGAAATCATAAAGTTGGCCCTAATCCAATGTTATTGGTGTCCTTAAAAAAAGAGAGAAGACAGACATTCAGAGAGAAGACAAAGGCGGAGATTGAAGTGATCCATCTATAAGCCAAGGCATGCCAAGGATTGCCAGCAAATGCCAGAAGCCAGAAGAGCCAAGAAAGCATTTTACCTTACAGATTGAAGAGGGATAATGACACTGCTAATTATTTAATTTTGGATTTCTAACCTTCAGACCTAAGATAATTTATTTCTGTTATTTTAAGCCACCTAGTTTGTGACATTTTGGTTATGGTAGCCCTAGGAAATGAATACACAAAGTAATCACCCTAAGGTCCCAGTGTGTTTGAACTTTGGGGCAATTTTCTCAGTGTGGTCCAAGGAAGTTTCTTCATCAGAATCACCTGGAAGATGCTTATTACAAATGCAGATTTCTAGACCCTTTCCTTTGCTTCCCCAGAATCTCAGGGACTAGAACCCTAAAATCTACATTTGTAAAAAACTACCCACTTAGAGTTTCTACAAGGAATGTTTCCAGTCTCTGATGCCCTCAGGATCACCTGTTAAGCTTTCTGAAAATCTATATCTATATCTATATCTATATCTATATCTAGGTACTATCTTCAGAAGTTCTGATTCAGTAGGACTGTGTGGGGTCATGAACATCTGTAGTGCTTAAAGCTCAATAGGTAATTTTGATATGCAGCCAGGGCTGAAAAGCATGACTCTACAAATAGAATAGAGTTTTTCAAATTTAGGATTCACAGTCCTGGGCAGCCCACACAGAGGAATCATTTGATTTAATCTGCCCTGCTATTTGTTAAATGTGAAATATATATATATATATATATATATATATATATATATATATATATATATAGTCTGTCTGAGCAGCCTCTCTCCATACCAACTCTTCTCCCAGAAACTCCTTTCTTTAAAAGTAGTGCTGGCCCAAAGAAATGAACTTACTGGACTTTTCACCCTTGTAGCTCATAAGTTACTTTTTCACCTGCTCTCCAGAAGAGAGGGTGGAAGGAAAATAAACACTCCCTGCCAGTGCAAACCAATTGGGGAAAACCTGTATAGTATTATAGAATCATTAGTCTCCCATGAATATCAAATATACAGATTTAGATAAGTCATATTCCTTGGTTAATGAATCTGTGCCATCATGGGGATACCCAGGACCTCTTTTACAATACATACTTAATAACACCCATGGACAAACACCTATGAACAAACACCAACTTTAAGATTGAAAATAATTAAATTGCATGACATCTGCCTATGCTCCTCCCCATCTCATCCTACTACTCACTTCTCCCCAGAAATAATGAATGCTATAAATTTTGTTAATCACTACCTTGATTTTATTAATACACACACACACACACACACACACACACACACACACACACACACACACACACACCTGTGCCTAAACAATATGTTGTTTAGTTTTGAACTTTATTTAAAAACTAGAAGCCCAGTTCATGAAATTCGTTCACGGGGGCAGGGGGAGTGTCCCTCAGCCCAGCCTGTACCCTCTCCAATCTGGGTCCCCTCAAGGGATGTCCATGCTTATCTTTGACAAGTTCCTTACATCTTCCCACATCTCTACTTAGGGGAAATGTTACAATTCTTCATGGTTCAGTTCATGAAACTGACCTTGATTTCCCATCTAAATCCTAATTCCCACATGCTTTGTATCTCTCCTAGAGAAGTTACATTTGCCTAATATTGTAAATATGTTTGATGTGTTTTCCCTCTACATTGTAATTTAGAAACTCTTTCAGGATCTTTTTCAAATTTTATTCCTTATGTAAGCAGGCTTGCAGTAACTGCTCAATAATTATTGACTGACTACATGAATATGACTGAAGAAATGCACTTAGCACTGACAATTTGAAGAGAAGCATAGTCTTATCTCAGTTTTTTATGGCTAATATAACTTGGGGAAAAGTCTGAAACTCCCTTTCCTTTTTCTCCCACTCACCCACTCCCAAATCTCTTATTGTGCAAAGGAGACTTAATTCCTGATTATAATCTGGAATTGGGGAATAATCACTTTGTTAGAAACTTTACTCTTGAATTACTATTTCAGTTACACAATTTTAAAGGAAAATTACATGGGATGGGTTTATAGCCTTAAATTTTGGAAAGTTCAATTGTGCCTATAGATTCTGTTCAGTAACAGTTGATAATATATTTTATGATTTCTACACAATTAACCCCAAATCATCATTAGTTCTGAATATTTATTAGAATTCTGTGAAGCTTGGAGAAATTA